TATATACATACGGAAATTAGCACGCCCAAGCCAACTTATCAGCACACGTATATATGAAAACTGCAGTGATAAATTAATGTCATTAATAATAATTATTAGACCTAACTTTAAATATCTTCATTTAATTAAAACTTTGTTGAAAGTTTTCTTTTGCCTATAAAAATATTATTAAAGATTGAACTTAATTTTTCATATTTCTATCTAAACTTGTCTTTAATCATTAGATTAAATCGTAATTTGAAACTTCATTTATATGTACTTATCTTTAAAACATATGTTGAGGAATTAAAAATAAAATTTTTATGCTAAATATAAATAAATTTTTTATATTTAAAGATTTATGTGTTGATATTCAATTTATTTTAATAATTAAATAATTAAATTAAATAAGAGAACAGACTCAGTTTAAAACACAATTATAATTATTATTAAAAAAAAAATAGGCTCAATTTAATTTTTTGTGTTTACACGTTAAGGATTATTTTATTTAAAAGAGAGTTATTATAATGTTGTTTTATTTAAAGGATAGTTATTGTTGTTAAAAATAAAAAAAAAAATAAGAGTGTAATGACAAATAATGATATTAACAAATAATAAATATGTTTAAAGAAAAGTGAAAATCAAATAATGATATTTTCTTTATTTATTATTAATTATTGATAGGAATTATGACCTAATTTATTTATGGTTTGACCTAATATATTTAATAAAAATGTTAAATTTAAATTTTTAACAGAATCTATCTATTTTTAAAAAAGATGTGTTTAAATTTGTAAAAAGTTTCTTAGATTTGATAAATTAACCTATTTATTTATATAATATAGTAAGAAAATAATATACACATTATCTTATTAACAATATAATTAAATAAATAAATTTATGATACAAAATTAAAATATCAATATTTTTTACATTCAATTAATGTTTACATTTTTTATTCAAAAAAAATTAAGAAATAACAAATAGGAAATCTAGCAATTACATTTTTACATAGATTAATTAAAAAAATTAAATAAGATATAAAAAATATTTAGATAATTTTTTTATAAGATTATCTTCTTTCATCACATTTGTGCGTAACTATACGTAAGTGTATATTCATTTTTTATTTTATTCATTTTTTATTTTATTTTAGAGTAAACTATTTTTTTATAAAACATGTGAATCTTTTATTTTAAATTAAACTTAATTTTAAATAAAATTTAAATTTTAATAATAATAATCATAATAAAGTAAACTATTTTTTTATAACACAAATTAAATAAAAGACTCATGTATATTTATAGATATATCTGTTGACTTATTTAAGATTAAGTTTATTGAGCTATTTAATATTGTTAATATGAAATAAACTTTTTAATAAAAAAATAAATTAGATCATACTTTTAAAAAAAATTAGAACAGATCTATGAAAAATTATGATAAATAACAAAATTAGTCTTAATTTTTAATTTTATAAAATAGACATATTCTCATCTCTAGTTAATGACATACTCTAATGAAAAAATAAATGAGTATATATTAACAAATCTCATTTAAAATTATTTATTTATATTTTATTAAAAACATGTTTGGAAAATGACTAATCCCTTCAAAATTAAACATGCCTTAGGATTGGCGGGATTTGTGAAAAGGATCATTCCATTATTATTATCAATATTTTAGGGACCATACATTGAATGAATTCTCAGTGGTGAGTGGTGACGTATTCTCTTCATCCTCCCAACAGTACGCTGACTCTTGTTTTTTTTAACAACTTGGTCTGCTTAAAACTTGAAAGTGTGTGACAAAGATATAATGTCCTTTGTGCATTTTAGGAGTAATACCGAAATAATTGTCCTACCAAATTCTATCAAAAATAAATTTGTAAAAATTTATAGTAAAAACATGAAAATTTCAAATATGTAGCTCCAATTTCAATCTGAACATTGTTTTTGGCATTTACAAAGCCAAAAAACAGTTTTTGTACTGTTCCTAGATTTTGCAGACAGGTAAATAATAGATTCTTGCAAGTTGTGACCTATATGTATTCCAAGTTTGACATACGGTAAGTGCTACATGAAGACAATGTTTTTCAACACAAGCATATGATATATGGATATGCATATGTACCTGTTAATAATTTCTTATGTTCGGTTTCTTTTATTTGGCTCAAGACTATGATAATACTGCTTCTTGCAGGTGTACAGAGTTCAGCA